TCGAGCGTGCCGCGCGCCGTCTCGTAGCCGTCCTGCGTCAACAGGTGCCGCAGCGGGGCGGCGGCAGCGGCGTCCCACACGCACACGCTGGCATCGTCACTGGTGGAGGCGAGCAGCGTGCCGGTAGGGTCCACGGCAAGGCGCTGAATGCGGGCGGTATGCCCCGCCTCGCTCACGCAGACGCGCTCGAGGGAGGAGAGTTCACCAACACCACGCTCCTCCTCCTCCTCCGCCTCGCTGACACACGACGTCCCGCCGACGCGCCACGCGGCAATGCGTCTGTCGAACATCGTGGTAGAGAACACCAGCGGTGCTGTTGGGTGCGCCGCAAGGTGCTGCACGCGGCCCCAGCCGCTCTCGCAGCTGGAGACACTTGCCCGCGGTAGGCACGCGGCGGTGTCCCAGAGCGTCACGACACCATCCGCTGCGCCTGTGACCACGGTGTGTGGCAGCGTGGGTACTGCGGCGCAGCAGGTGAACGGCATGCAGAGAGTGCCGGCGACACAAGAAGAGCTATCGCCGCTGCTGTTCGCAATCTTGACATTGCGAACAGACTTTGTCAGGCGCATGCGTCGCAGGTGCTCAACGGCTGCTTGATGAGCAGGACGAACAACGGAGGCGGATGCCACAAACGCCTCCTTTAGGCCCGCGATACGCTGCTCGGCACGTGCCAATGTGAGCGGCAGCAATGCTGTACGCCTCTCCACAAGCTCCGGTGACGCCCTTGTGTGCATCTCCTTTGTGCGCGGGCACGTTAACGGCCTGGATGCACCTTGGCCACCCACATCTTGCTGCTGCTTCTGCATCGGCTGAGATGGCCCTAATGGTGTCTGGTATCTCTTGCGAAGCGCCTCTACACTGCCGTAGCCCCCCTCAACCATCAGCTTGTGCAGGCGACGGCGACGCTCCGCCGCCGTCTCGGCGAAGACGACAATCGGGGCCTCGAGCAGGCGCAGCCCCTCCTGCACCGCACGGTCGGTGGGGGGAAGCACGGGGTCTACAAGCTCCATTCGCGACGCCGCTCCGTCCGTGTCTTTCTTTCTCTCTCTCTCTCTCTCTCTGGGGGTGTGTATGTGTGAAGGAGCGGCGCTTCCCTCTTCGGCTAGACGCACAACATGAATGACGGGGTGGTGGGGGAAGAATTCAGCGCATATACACACACACAGAGGCGAACACGCACAAACAAATGGCAACTCGCAGAGGAGGAGGAGGAGGAGGGGACACTGCACACAACACAAACAAAAAAAAAACACTCAAGAAGAAACTCAAGCAACCTCAATCTCCTCATCATGGACTCTCTGCAGCAGCATGAGCATGTTCCACCGCCCTTGGCACCATCATCATCATCATCCCAATCCACCCATGCAGGCATACGATGTAGAAGGCCACAGCGACGCGCAGGACGGGCTTCCGACGCAGCAGTCGGCCGATGCGAAGGGTTGTCGCGTCCACTGCGGCAACCAACTCGAGCACACACAACGCAGCCTTATTGGCTGAAACCCCACGCCGCAGTAGGAGCGCTGGGCGGAACTCTGCCGAGTCTCGCGTTATCTGCGATGCCGATGATGATGACACGGCCACGCGTGTAGTGCGTTCCTCCTCTAGGCGGTACGTCGCCCGCTCGCAGCGCCGTCGCCACTCAGCAGCATCGCGCAGCGCCGCCTCCAGCATGTTCTGCTTCTCCAGCAACTGGCGGGACATGAGTAGCTGGTCGCGCGAGTCCCCGTCATCGCTGCGCAGCGTGACGAGAGCACCAGCGACGGTGAAAGTTCCGCCGCACTTCTCTACCGCCGCACGCAACTCATTGAGTTCCCGCTGCCGCGCCTGCAGCTGTGCCTTGCTGCGTTGGTGCGCGACCACCTCACTATCGAGAGCCTCCTGCGCGCCACGCAGGTCGAGGCGCAGGAAGTCCATCTGCTGCACGAGGGCGAGGCGTTGCTCGTGTGCGCCTGCCACCTCACGGCGGGATGCCGCAACTTGTGCCTGCAGCCGCTCTCGCTCTGCCCCCATAGAGGCGATGGCGGCCTCCAACTCCTCCACGCGCTGCCGCGCTGCTGCCACGTCGTCCTTGTCCGTGCCCTTTACCACATCCTCGGCCCCGGGATCGCCGTCAGCCTGCACCCGTTCCAACCGGTGGCGGAGGGCCTCGTACTCACGCTGCTTTTCTTCCAATAGGCAGCGCGACTTGGCCTTGTGCTCGTTGAACCGTTCGTTGACTTCGCGCAGCGCCTCCTCCAGCTGGTGAACCTGCAGGGAGCGCTGCAACAGGTCCTGCCTCGCTGCCTCCGATGCCGCCTGGTGACGCCGAACGTCACGCGTGAGCGTATCGATCTCCTCGTCTCTACGCTTTAGCTGCGCTGACTCCGCGTCATGCTCGACCACCAAAGCTGATCCTCCTCCTCCCATTGATGCTGCTGCTGTTGTTGCTTCCTCACCCTCCAGAGTGTAGTGGCTGAGCGTTTGTGATGGGCCAACGCCATCAACCATTGCTCCACTCTTAAGATGCGAGCTTGCGCGACGGTTGCGGAACGCGGCGGGCTGCGCCGGGAACTCCGGCAGCGGCACATTCCTCCCCTCCGCCCTTTTTGCTGCAGCTGCAGCAGCAAGTGGCGAGTGAACTTCTTCCGCATCGAGTTCGCGCCTGCCCCCAAACGCTACCGTTTCATCATCATGGAGAGCCTCCGCTGCTGACGCCTCCTCCGCCGCCTGCTGCCGCCATGCGTGCTGCTCCGCCCGCTCGTCAATGGCCTCCAGGAAGGCCGTCACGCCCTGAAACATGCCGTCCCCAACTCGCCCCGCGTGCTAACTACAATGTGTTGTGGTGAAACACTCACCGCCACCCCAACCCTTGCGTTTCACAAGGAGTATAATGAAGAAGAAGAGCAGGGCAATACCAACCGACGCAAAAAGCAAAACAAAAGAAGAAACATGCGATGCCGTAACGCAACCCCACCCTCCGATGAAGAGGCATTATTAAAAAGCGAAAGAGCGCGTCAAACACATTAATGAGCATCGTTTAGCGGCGCTTCCATGTCTTCCCTGTTCTCCTCCTCCTCCTCACCATCCATCTCATCTACTTCCGCATCGTTGCAGTCAAGCAATGGAGCATAGCCATCCGCCGTTGGGTCACGGTAGCCGTCGGAGGATACCGCCGTCGAATCCCCATCATCTTCACCGCTGGCAGCATGAGCCGATGATTGCTTGTCGGCACACGCGGCTGCACGAATGGCGGCCACGAGAGGCGCCTCGCCGGGATGCTCCGCTGCTCGCTGGAGCAACGCGGCGACTTCCGCAAGCACACTAGAGGCCACCGGCGCCTCTTCGCCTGTCTTCTGTGCTGCTGTCCCCACCACTTCCTGCAGCTGCAGTATGTGCGTCATGGCGTGCTCATAGGCATGCTGCACATTGGCGATGCCGCAGTACAAGTCCGCGAGGTCAAGCCTCGCCTCGCAGACTGGCTTTCCGTACCTGTGCTTGGTGGTGATATCAATCTTGTCAAATCCACCAAGCCTCTCAGCGAGCGCGAGACGAGTCGCCTCCTTCATAATTTCCTCTTGCAGCACCGGGTCCTCGAGGCTCTCCAGTGCCTGAAGGTGCAGCGGCAGGGTGAAGGTGCCAGTCACGTTCACCGTGACGTCCGTCGTGGGACCAATGCCGTGGCTCGTCATTGCACAGAGCCACACAAACAGCCCTATCTAAGCTTGGCACTTCCTTCCTTCCGCACAGGAGAGGGTGCCGCCGTTAAGGAGCAAGTCAACAACAACAACAGAACAAAAAAAGGGACAGCATGGGTCGTTGCACGTGGCACAAGCACCACACACACACACAGATATATATATATATATACAGTTGGGCAAAGGGTACGCATGGTGCTGCACCAGCGGATGGTGGTTGATAGGTAGACGGAAGAAGAACAAGAAAGAAAAATAAGAACACAAAAAAGTAACGATACCAGCAAGAACAAATACACGATCTAATACAGCCCATGACTCTCTCTTCACTCTCCGTCTCCCTTGTACGCTTGGTCTCACCCCGATCCCCATCCTCTCAGCGCTATTGTCAAAGCAACACAAAGACGCTGCCGCCTCAGAAGGACTGCGCCGAGACATCGTTCAGTAACGTGTTCATGTAGCGCGTCCCACGGAAGCGGAACGTGCAGCCGTACATCGCCTCATGACGCGGTATTTCAGTCTTGAGGTGCTCTGTCAACCTCAACAGTTCCTTGTGCAGCTCCTCCATCTGTCCACTTATACTGCCGTTGCTGCTGGACGGGCTCTTCTCTAGCTCCCTCAGCCGGTGCAGGACAAATTCGCGCCGCGTTACCACCTCCAGGAGTGGCAGCTGCAGCTCCAGTTGCCGTTTCTCCTTCTGCACCTCAACCGCACGCTGCTGCGGCGGGAGGTGCGCCCAGCGCCGCAGCGTCTGCTGCTGCTCCGCCTCTGGGACTTCCAACACAGACCACAGCTGACGCAGCTTGTCGTCATCGATGTAAGAAGCCACCTCAGCATGATCGTCGGTTGGACCCCTGTTCTGCGGTGTTCGTTGCGCGGACCGCAGAAGGTGGTGGGAGGCAGCCTCCTCAGCCACGCGTTGTAGTCTGGATGCCGGACTACCCTCGTGCAGCGAGGAGCAGCGTCCTGTTGTTGTTGTTGCTGCTGCTGCCGGTGTGGAAGTGTACGGCGAGATCTCGTTGCTGTGGCGGCGCCGCCTCTCCTCAAGGGCTGTGAGTTCCCTAAGCAGGCGCTGCTCTTCCTCGCCGAGGGCACGCCGCGCCAACTCCTCCCGCTCCGTGCGGCACGCCTCGTGCATCTCCTGGTACAGCCGTTCGTACCGCTCCTGCATCTCGCGCAGCGCCGCCAGTTTCTGCTGCTCGTGCGTCAGCCGCAGCGCGTCCGTCTGTGCCTGCGCCTCGCGGAGCTGCTCCTCCAGGGCGGCATGTTGCTTTCGTTCCTGCTCCACCAGCCCGTAGAACTGCTGCAGCTTATTCTCAAAGTCGCTGCGCGCCCGCGTTGCGGCCTCCCGTGATTGGCTGTCGGACTGCGCGAAGTATGACGACAGCGTCTCCTCCATATCCCGCCGCAGCTCGGCAAGGTTGCTGTGGTACATTTGTTCCAGGCGCTGTGCGGCCGCCTCGCGTTCTTTCTGTTCTGCACGCACCCGATCCAGCTGCTCCTCAATGAAGGCGCGGTACTTCACCTCAACCTCCTCCCGCAGGCTCTCTCGCTGCTCCTCTAGGCGCCGCTGCGCGTCCACCTCCAACACAGCTTGCTCTCGCACCCGCATCTCCAGCGCCGTGCGCACTGCCGTGAGGCTCTCGTCGTACTTGCGCTGCAGCTCCTGCTCCTGCTCCTGCAGGCGGTGCAGGTGCTGCTCCTCGAGCTCTGTCACCCTCATCAGGTACTCCTGTTGGCTCTGCTGCGATTTTTCCGCCACGTTGCGCATCATAGCATTGTACTCATCCTTCAGCGCCCGAATCCGCTCGTTGGTCGACTCCTGCTGCAGACTGTTCTGCTTCTCCATGCGCTCCACAAGGCGGCGACGCTCCGCCTCAAAGGCGGCCTCGCGTTCGCGCAGTGTGGTTTCACTCCGCTGCCTATCTTCTACAAAGCGGCGGTCGTGCTCTTTGCGCAGCTCCGCCACAAGGGTGTCATGGCGCCGCCGCTCCTCCTCAATCACTGTTTCGTGCTTACTCCGCAGCTCCACTTCTTGCTGACGGAGCCGCTCGACCAGTCGCTGCTGCTGCCCCTGCGCCTCTACGCGTTGCTGCTCCGCCTCTGTCTTCCACCGCTGCCGTTCCTTCTGCAGCACCGCCTCGTGCTCGCGTTGGAGCTGCTGCGCCACCGCCTGCTGCCCCGCCTCCATCTCCCATGTCTTCTCCAGCAAAGTATTCTGCAGATTCCCCCACTTCTCTTGCTGTTCCTGTGCGTGCTTGCGGCTTGCCTCCGCGAGGACGCGTTCATGCGCCTCTAGCAGTCGCGCAGCATGTTGCATAGCTCCATCCTCGATGGCCTTCCGGTTAGCTTGCAGGGTTTGCTGCATGATCCGCTCGCGCTCGGCCAGGGCGTCGCGCTCAGCACGGAGCGCTGCCTCAACTTGCGCCTGCACCTGCGCCATGTCGGTGGCCTTATGAGACTCGACCAGCTGCCTGTAGGCCGCGCGCTCTCTGCTGAGATCTGCCAGCTCCTTCGCCCTTGTCTGCAGCCAGTCCGCCTCGCACTGCTCTTGGTACGACAGCATCGTTGACATGACGTTGAAAAGATGCTGCTGCATATCCGCTTTTGCCTTTGCGAATCGATCCGCGTACTGCGCCGCGAGCTGCTCGTGCATGACTGAACGCTGCGTCTCCCAGCGCTGCTGGTCGTCGTAGAGCTCGGAAAACTTGTCATCGAACATGGCTTGCATTTCCTCGCGCTCCTGCTGGAGATACTTCACTGCCTTTTGTTGAGCCTTGTCCTCCATGCGAAGACCGGCCTGCCGCAGTTCCTCCTCGCGGCGCCGCAGCTCCGCCTCGCGTTCAGCGTGGCGTGCCTCCAGAACGCGCGTTCTTTCCTCCAGCGCCTCCTGCTGCTGATTGCGGACGGCGGCGCAGC